AAACTCAGCATCCTATGTTCACCAGAATTATACTAATTACTGTGTTGCAGCATGCAATGTACTTTGTTGTCAGATTAAACATTCTCTTTGTTGAGCAGAATTTCAATAATATCTTAATAATTAACATTCACTAATCTGTATATTTTCATCTTGAAATTTGATTCACACTTTACTTTTTCCAAAAATGTATGTAATATAGTTGTAAATTTGATTTTTTTTTTAAACAAATCATCCTTTCTGATTTTTTAACAGCTTATGCATGTGTGCATGCATATGTGTGTTTATACAGGAATTTTATGAAAATAAAATTATAATACTATATTTCTTGATTTATCATGGTGCATATTATTATAAGAAATTAAGTCAATAGGAATATTTGATATTTTATCAGTGATAGTAACACTTAAAATGTTATTAGAAATCTACTTTTTTATTTAAATGGCTAGATTTTCAAAAATTCCTTTATTAAATTTCATTTTATGATATAGGATCAATATCCATTAAATTCGTCTTTTTATTTTGACAGAGGTAAATATAAAGAAACATTGTGTGTAAGTGCATTCGAATAAAGGGAATTTTAAGCAATGTCATGATTTTTCTATTTCTACTTCATCTATCAAAGTCGCATAGCAACTTGTTTCTAAAATTATTTTTAAAGAGAAGAAATTCTTAAACTATGTTGAAACAAGGGACTATGCTCTATCTCAGATGGATAACTTCATTATATTCACTTTCTAGAAACAACAATAGCAACAGTCTTAACTAACATTTCATATATGACAATATGATGATAGATTGGCTGAATGTTTAACTAAAGGTAACATTTTTTAAAAAAATATATTTCTTTTAGTTGTCAATAGAGCTTTATTTTTATTTATTTATATGTGATGCCAAGAATTGAACCCAGTGCCTCCCACATGCCAGGCCAGTGTAACTTTTATATCCTCATACTTTAAATAAAAAGTGGACATTACTTTTTGCCAATATAATAGTTTTACTTTAAAAAACTATCATGGAAATTAGTCTTCTTGTAATGTAAATGGGAAATTATATTCTTAATATTAAAGTGAGTAGAAAAAAGTAAAATTACGGGGCTGGGATGTGGCTCAAGCGGTAGCGCGCTCACCTGGCATGCGTGCGGCCCGGGTTCGATCCTCAGCACCACATACAAACAAAGATGTTGTGTCCGCCAAGTACTAAAAAATAAATATTAAAAAATTCTCTCTCTCTCTACCTCTATCTCTCTCACTCTCTCTTTAAAAAAAAAAAAGTAAAATTACTTTGTTTTAAAAAAAAGGCTTTTGAAATAATTTTAATAAAATATTTGGATATAGGTTTTTCAGGAAAATGTTGCACTAACTTCTGTGATAGTAATTTTTACATTTTACACAATATATGTGTTAAGCAATATTACTAAAAAGCCAATTCAAAAAAAATTGACAACTAAAGTAAATTTAATAAATAATGCTTTTAATAATATATTACACATTTATCTCTAAATGTGTTTTATTATGCAGTTTGAATAATTTAAAATTTGTTGTGACTAATAGCATATAAAAATATAAATGAGAGGATTGAACTCTATCGTTTGAATGTAATAATAAGAAACCAGAAGTGTACTATAAAATAGATATGACCCCATCAATTTCTTTGTAAATTATGATCAATATTTTCTATGTTTATGAGAGCAAGTAATAAAAATGCTATTAAATATTTGGTGTATGAGTTATTGTATAATTTGTTTATCTATAAATAAGCTAAGAACTATTTAACATTTAGTAGAAAATTAGATTAGGACTTAGCTTCAAATAGATATGTTTATAATGTAACTATCTGAATACTATTGAATATCCTTTGCATTAATGGGAAATTTGAATATGAGAGAATTACGTGAATTTTGTTTATGAAATTTATCTGCAGTATCTGAAAAAATCATGTAGTAGTCTCAGAATATATTTGTTACCCATTTCCCAAGGACCAGATCACTTCATTCTTACAATTATGCTATATCATATTATATTCATTGTCAGTAATTTTCAAATCTTAATTCTTTCTTGCTAATGGTAGGCCCTATTATGAAGAGTTGAAAACAATTCTTAATTTTGAATAAATGGGGAAAAAGCTGATTATTAAAAATGCAGTGTTGCTTATTTCTTTCATGGAACTCTCCTCTAGTAGTGCTACATTCTTGGTAAAGTGTGAAACCATTAACAAAAATTTTCTTTATTCTGAGTACTAAAACAAATTCAGTTTTATGATCCTTCACTAAATCATTCTCAGCCAACATACTTTCTTATTTCTGTGCTAAACAATATTGTAACCAGGCCAAAAAAAAATTATCTGTTTTTTTCAAAATGTACTTATTCCCAGAGCACAAAACTGTGAACCAACTAAAGTGACTTCCATGATCATGATTTATAATTTTTTCTTAAATATTGCTTGAAAACCCTCATCTTGTTGTACTTGACTATCCAAAGCTGTCATTGCATAAATTCTGCTCAATACCAATCAGTTCTCCACCTAGAGAAAAAGTCTCAGTGTTACACAGCCCAGTCCCTAGACCTCTATAAAAATCCTCTATTAATTTTCTCTCTTTAACCCACTATGTATCACTCTATAAAAGTAGTATGTTCTCATATTGCTATATATTTAATGACCAGGTGTTGCTTGCTGATAGGCTTTCTGGTTCACATTTTTTAAGGAGTAGATAGCTATCTATCTTGTCAAGTTTCCTCAGGATCCTTTCCTTGTCAATTCTGGAGACTCCAAGATTGCAAACTGTGTTCCTTCAAGGCCCTTTGAACTCTGTATTGGTGGATCTCTCCTACCACAGGGCAGTAAGTTTACATTGCATCCAAGCTCTGACTACTTTGCATTGAACTCAAAATGTTACATTCATTTGGTTTCTGGAGATAAGGAATCTTTCCATGTCTTTTGTTTGTTATATTAGATTTAAGAACTCTGACACTCACTAGAAACTTGTCTGCTATGAACAACAATGCTGCCTATCTTTGTGTATGTCCTCCTCACTGTTTGTCACAAATCCAAAAGAGGAAGTTCTTAGGGAAAAAGGTGGTAATCAGTATGATAAATCCAGCCTCAAGATAGTCCTGAGGACCGAAGAGCAATAAAAGTTTTCTCAGACTGAGATGCTTATAGAATGCTCTTATGAGAATAAAATAGATTTACACATATTTTGCATTATCTGTGAGAATATAGTGCAGGTATAAACATTCTTTTCAAAACTTCTGGTTAAGTCAATTTTTTGGGCTTTTAATTGGATATGACAAGTATTGGATCACTGACTTGATGCCTGAAACACTCTGGATCACACCTGACTGATCACTGTGTGCAGTTTGAGAAACTGACTATAGAAAAGATAAATGGTCATACCATATATGAAAACAGAATTCTGACCTAGTACTTCTGCAATAAACAGTTCATAAAGCCAAACTACAACTTCTGCAGCTCTAGGAAAGGAAAGCCAGGACTGGCTTAATGAAGTCCTTCTTCTTTAATTTTTTATTTCTGCTTTCAAATGGATCAGTCTCATGTTTCTTAGTCACTTGCAAATTTTCTTAGTCTATATCTATGATCTTTCAAGCCAGATTATTACTTCACGCCTGTATTTACTCTATATTGTGATTCCTGTGCTTATTGTTTTCATGGTATAATTTCAAAATTCAGAAGGAAAAGAGGAACTAGAAAGAATGTAAAAATACTCTATGTACCTTTATATTTCTCTTCCAAAAATTGTGCTCAGAAAGTAGCAAGAAAAATAATAAAGAATTGGCTCATGTGATTATGTAGACTGAGAAGTCTAAATTCCAGTTTTAGAGTCTGAGGCAGAATCTCTACATCTCAAAGATCACCAGGCAGAAGGAAAAAATTCTCACACTTCCTCTTATCCTATTTACTTTTTCAGTGAATGGGGCACACCCACATTATGGAGGGCAATTTATCTTACTCAGTCTAGCAATTCAAATGTTCTTATTATTCAGAACAATTCCCGCAGACACACCCAGAAATGTTAAACAAAAGAACTGGGGACACTGTAGCCCAGTCAGGTTGGCATAAAAAATTAACACTCACAGGGAATATTTATCATTGGAATTTTGGCAGTATTCATGTTTGGTGCCAATTAAATGTCATTAATGTTCCCTTCCTTGTCGCGACCCCTCGCAGGCAAGGGAAAACACGACACAGGATTCTTCTTTCAGCAGTTTATTCAGGCCTTGATTCATGTATCATCTTCTAGTGACCCCCCGCCGAGCGCCCAAGCACAGCCTAATAAAGCCTCCCGCATACCAATCCCAAGCTGCCACGTGGACCTTTCTCATAGGGTGGGAAGGGATTGCATGCCAACTCTCCAAAAAAGGAGTTGTTTATCACAGGCCACAGTGGAAGCCAGCGCCATCTTCTAATGGCGGCCACGGTCTTTAAGAATGGCTCACCACACTTCCTCACTTGTGCCATAGACCTTGCTTGACAATACTTTAGTGTGACTTGACTAAGCCATGTAGGTTTATGAAATTCCCACACTGAAGCAATCTGTTTTTCCATCTCAGGTTATCCACTTGGTTTCATGTTGACTAACCAGTCAAGACTAACTTTGCTTTTCTTGATTTCATTGCTATAATAATATGATACATTTTGTAAGATCAATTTGGATAATGGAATATAGGTCCTGAAAAATCCATGTCTTCATGGATTAATTATTAATTAAAGTAATTTAATTAATAATTAAAATAATTAGTTATTAATTATTTTATGTAACCACTATTCTGAGGAGAATCTTTTGGATTTTGAACAACCAACCCCAGTGCCCATAGTCTGATGGTTCTTGTAATAATAGCACTGTCATGCAACAGGCTGGATGTCCAGAAAGCCACCAGCCCCTGCATTTAACCAGGCTGATTAGAAATGCTTTTCAGACAACGTGCTTGCTATCAAAATTATCATGGATGAAAACTATCATAACCTTATTTCCTTCCCCCTAGGTCCTGGAGTCAAATGCCATCGTCAGGCTTTCCAGGTTTCCAAATAACCAAAGAAGACTGTGAATGGGGGTGCCAAGAATCGGGGAAATGAATGAACTTTCTGAAGTGTGACTACCATATGATCTAATCCTATTTGGTTGAAAACTATTTCTATAGGCCAACTACAGTAACTTACATAATAAAACTAACAGCTTTCTCATCCAGGCTGCTTCAAGAACCAACCTTATTATGAATGTCATATGCTCCACCAAATCTCAATTGGTTTCCTGTATGTTTATATTTGTCTTAAGATCACCTCAACTAGGCTGTACAAACTTATACTCTCCTGGAACTTGTTCCTCCTTCTGTTATAAAATTACACAAAAACTATATTTTCTGGCACTTTGAGGAAGAACTTAGCCGAAACCTTCCAATAAGCCTGAACCTTAAACTGTGTATGAGTCAGGGTAAGAATTCTAATGGAGGCTTTTGAATCCCTTGTCCCAGAAGTTAAATGTCATAAATCAAGCCTATCTATTACCTACATACATTCTCATAGAGAGTCCTTAAAATTGTTCCCTCGGACTACTGTTCTAATCCAGAGGCATAAGCCTACCTGCTATCTGCTGGAATATCCTTTGGCCCACCGTCTGAGTGTTGGCAGATGTTGACTATAGTAGGGCAGAACCTGGGCCTGCTCCCAGGAATCCTGGGTAAGCACTGTATCTTTCTGAATGCAAGATACAGTTGTTCCTGTCAAACTACCCACAGGGGCAGGGCTGTTTCTAAGTCTTTCTTTAATAACTTTGCATTTCTATGCAATTATAAGTGTTTTCCAAATTTATTTACTCCAAAGAACAAAACTGTACAGTTATTTGAGGAAGATGGTCTGTGGAGACCTCCACTTTGGAAGGTTTGTAGGTGCATGATTTTTTTTTTTTTTTTTTTTAAGCAACTTCTTGTCCGTTTCCCACAGGGGAAACATGCCTTGTACTTCACCAGTTGTGATATGCAGGGCACTCTCAATCCTTTCTGTTCAGTATTTTCTACAGAGCAACCAAATCAACTTTCCCTGGGAGACTGATAGAAATGTGCTGTTGCAGATGGGCCCTAACAAGATCCCCAGGTGATTTGTATTCACATCCAAATTTGGGAAACTGCTCTAAAGGCAGAGCACAACCTACAGAAGGGCTTCCACAGCTGGAGTCTAAATGCAGTACCCACTTCCACTCCACTATTCTCTCACATACCACATATAAATTATTCACAAATGGGAAAAAATATTCATTTCGCTCCACTCACAGAACATGTATGTATGAGGCATGGAAACCCCAAGGCATACTCCCTGCATATGGTTCACTTATTAAACATTAAAAGAACATTGAAAGAAGTTTTCCCTGTGTCTGACAGCCTTGTATGTTTTTAAATCCTGGGCAAACACCTTGTTGAGATATTCAGAAAGAGTGGTAGTGTGTGTGTGTGTGTGTGTGTGTGTGTGTGTGTTTAAAAGGGATATTATGAAAATAATAACATTTTTATTCAGATTTCTACAAGAAAAGGAATTTGTGTCAGGCCTGAGATTATAAAAAAGGAGCAGTGTTATAGTTTGGATCTGAAATTTCCTCAAAGCTCATGTGTTCCCAGTGCAATGGTATTGAGCGATGGATCATGAATACTCTGATCTCATCAATGAATTAATTCACTGATGGGTTTATACTTGAATGGACTATGGGAGATGTTGGAAACTACAAGAAGTAGCACCCAATTGGAGGAAAGAGATCACTGGAGGTATGCTCTGGAAGGGCATATCTTGTCCGCAGTCTTTTTGTCTCTCTCTGCATCCTGGCTATTAAGAGATGAGCTGCTTTCCCTGCCGTGGCTTTCTGCCATGATGTACTGTCTCACTACAAGCCCAGAATCAAGGGAGCCAGCCAACCATGGTCTGAAACCTCTGAAACAATGAGCCAAAATAAATTTTTCCACCTCCATGTTGGTTTTCTCAGGTATTTTGTCACAGAGAAAAGAAGTTCACTAATACAGGAAGTGTCCAAGTACAAACATGGCAAAAAATTTAAATAGATCAAACATTCCAACAATCTCATGAACTTTGATTGCACTAACTGGCTTAAAAAAGGGAAATTAGCTTTCTTCCATTTCTGAAGGATGGACAATCAACATCAGGATGCAGGCATGGTCTGGCTCTGATATGGTCTTTCTTCCAGGTTTACAGATAGCCACCTTCTTGTTGTGTCCTTACCTGGCCTTGTATGGGGTTGATGGCCAGCATCTCATTGGGGGATTCTTCTTCTTGCCAAAAGGGTGTAAGCCACCCTAAAACTTAAAGTCTCAAATAATTAGTGAATAAAAAAACCCCACAAATGATCAGAAATATATTTACAAAAGGTGAAGCCCCTGATAGATCCAGTCCACATGGGTGCTGGAACTAGACAAAGATGGCTCCGGTGGTTTATTTAAGGGGGTACATCAAAGGCAGGGATAAGGTTTCAAGAGTGGAGTCTTGCTTCTTGATGTCTTTCAGTCAGCAGGTTGACTGATATCTTGGTAGGTTACACCCATCTGAGTTGCTGTGTGGTATCTTGGCAGAGCTTGAGGGAGAAGTTCACCTGCATCAGGTGATCAATCCCTGTGGGGATGTCATTGGAGGTTTCCAATGACAGACCTATCCCCTCATTTGGCTACTATGTGCAGTAACCCACATGCAACCCATGGACGGCCTCTGACATGGCCTTACTTTGGTACATGCACATGATTAGAATGTGTACTTGTGTGTGAGTATGTGTGTGTGTGTGTGTGTGTGTGTGTGTGTGTGTGTAGAGGGAGAAGGAGGAGGGAAGAGAGAGAGAGAGAGAGAGAGAGAGAGATATCTGGAGCCAAAGATAAGTGATCTTATAAAGTGAAGATAATTTGAAATTTCTTTTTCTTCCTCTTTTTATCAGATCACCAATCCTATCAGAATATATCCCCACATTTGTGAACTCATTTAACATCAATTATCTTTTAAAAGTCTTAAATCCAATACAGTCCTATGGGAGGGTAGGACTTCATTCAACATGTGGTTTTTGTAGGGACACAATTCACTTTCTACCACCCATGAAGATATTCATAAAATTCAGAATCTCCATTAAGTCACAAATCATATTGGAGAATCAAATCAAATTTTTCATTTTGCATCAATGAAAATTTGATAAAATGTGACCTAATAGTCTCTCCTAGATTTCACAAATAGAACAATTTGGTGTTGGATAAGGTATTACATTTTTTCATTAATTTAAAAAGAGATAAATATTTTTGAAGTTATTTTTCCTGATTGAAATAATCAAGCTTGAAGTTCTCTAGCTCAATTCATTTTCTTTTAGTTAAAGTGTCCTTTGAAAAATGTTTAAAGCATTATATTTTTTAAAAAAGCTATAGCAAGGCACTAAAGTGAAAAATAAAGCATTATTTTTCCCTTTATTTCTTAAAACATCTCTTAGAAGAAAATAATGAAAGAATTCAGAATGTACCCTGCTGTTTTTCCTATAATTATAATTTTGTTATCTTATGGAAATACAACTGTGTAATAGTTCTTTACAAGGTATTATACTTTTTGATTTTACAAGCAAAATGTCTCATTTCTTTATGGGAAAAATAGAAATTTTCTCATATGTGTTTACTAAACTTCCTAACAGCATTTCTTGACTATCTCTGTCAATGACATAATTACTTAGGAAATAAAGTTCAAATGGGCTTGTTAAATACCCATTTTGCTTCTTGGTTTTTCTCTCTTCAGTTATTTTATAAAATTATTTAATATGAATTCTCACGATTCAAATGAAAGATAAAAAGATATCAAGTGACCCACCCTTCATTGAAACTTGAAGTTTTTGTTTGTTTGTTTTTTAATCATACAGGTCATTACCAAAGTGGCATTATATGACTATAAACAAATTTGCTTTAGCAAGCAATAGAAGGAGAATTTCTGTTTTCTTTAGCAAAGACAACAACAGGAAGATAAAGCTAAAATATGTGACAGAGGATATCCTTGAGAATCAGCAACTACAGGCCTCAGAAGAAAAGTATCATTTCCTCCCCAATTTCCCAGAGAGTTTTGACTGTGATCGATGTAATTATCAATTCCCGGAGAGGTTAGGTACAAGATGGCTGTGAAAAACACTGAATTACATTCTTTCTCCATTTACTGGGATGGTAAAGTAACAAGCTCAGTCAAAAAGAATTTTCATATTCTCACATTAAGTTAATCAGTGACAAAGAATTAAGAATGTTATATCACTAGAAAGATATAGATTCATTATAATTCACAGAAATAAATGGATAAATAGTTTGATACCATTTACTGGAGTGTAAAAAAAATCTAGAAAATAATGAGGAATGGCAAAAAATAAAACAGAAGAAAAACAAAAGTCTTGTCTTCTATTCAATGCTAATCAAAAATTCATTCTAAAAAAAAAGTGGCTCTGATTTTTAGAATTTGGCAGATAATGTATATTACAAGCACAGAAGGTATCTAAGAAATACAAGGAAATGAGATAGAAATATGAACTATAAAAACATTTTTTAGTGTATAAGAAAAGTCAAAGATTTATTATTTGTTCTCAGTTAATGGAAGAAAGATGACTTAATATTTCGATTCTATTATCTGCTTATCAAAAACACTAAGAAAGTATTTAGACTAAATGATTTCAACTCTTTGTTATGTGAGGGTTGCTAAATATCTTAACTTTTCATAGGAAACAGAAAATGCAGTCATTATTCCATGACATCTTTTAAGCCTATTTATCCTAAATCAGACAATATTTTATCCTCATGTGCTGAGGGGGGCCTGCCCTTCCAGCATTGCCTGTGGGGAGCTTGAGGGCACGAAGAAACCCCTCCAGAGACAGTTTCAGAGAACAGTGTCTGTTCTTTTGCACAACAAAAATAGCTTTTATAGTGGGTATGTGCCAATTTACATATAATAGTCATAATAAGCCAGAGGTGATACACAACATATCATCTTACGGGAATCCAGACACTAAGAGTCCAGGAACTACCACATAGGCTAACCTTGCTCCAACAGAAGTATAACTCCTTGTCAAGGGAGCAAGGAAATGGTCCTTGCCAGTGTTCTGAAGCACTCTGTCCCCAAACACAGCATTCTATGTTAGGATTTCCCTGCTGCAAAATGAGCAACATAAGCATTATTCCAGGCAGGTCTAGAGTTAGGCCCACAAGCACCCACCCCCAGCCAAAATTCAAGTTCTAAATAATAATAATAATAATAATAATAACAACAACAACAACAATAACAATAATAATATACATTGCACAGGAAATTTTGACTTTGCATTCTATATTCCACAACATAAAGATATATAAAACAACTTCATTTGGCTACTCTTTCATCAGCTGAGAACCCATATTCTTTGCTCCTTTTATTTCCTTAATGAACATTATTGGATCTTTAGTCTTCCTAACTTTTCTGACACCTTAAGAACTCTAATTCTTTAAAAACGTTTTTAGTGTATTGTTCTGCCTGAACTACAGAATTAGTATGCCTCCAGTTCTGTTGACCTATTGTGACATAATAAACCACACTAACATTTGTATTGCAAAGCAATACCATTTTTTTTTTCTGCTCACTGATTACCAACAGGACATAATGAGGATTGTTGTAGTCCACAATGTGTGAAGCCTCAGTTGGGAAAACTGAAATGGCTAGTGGTTTGAATTTGAATTTAGGATTCTTCAATTAATGTTTCTAATTCTCTTCATACTTTGCCCCAAATATGCCTCTCTTCAAAAAATCACAATAAAGTCTCTCTTGCGTCCTCTTTTTCTCTCTCGATCTGTGACCAACCTTGGTCTCTCTTGGTCTCTTCTTGCCTGATGTGGTATTTCCCCTCTGCTGCTAGGAACTGTGAGTAATAAACTATGTTTTTAATGGCTATCCTCTCCTAATACATTGGCCTCACAATACCTGAATAAAATAAAATTCATATTTATAAACAAGTTGTTTCATACTTTTAACATTTCAAAAATTGTTACTTTATGTGATACCTTGTGTGACTTTATTAGAGAAACATCATATGTTTTATGAGGGTCATGTTTAGTTTACTGGTCATATGCTCTTTTAACCTGCCATTGACAGAAATGCTTAAATGTTTAAACATGGCCTTTTCAATTTTTTGAAATAATGTTTTGATTTGGCATTTTCTACGATAAGATATGTCCCTAATTATGTAGTTGCATTATCCTGTAACACAACTTTTGAGATGTATTTTCCAAATATTTTCTACCCAATTCCCAGTTGATTGATTCAATGTATTATCTATTTATTCTGTTATTTATCTACTTCTTTTCCATTCCTCTCTATAATGGTGACTCATTTCA